ACCACCGCACTCCCAAGCGGCGCACTGTAGCAGTGCGCCACCGGGCCAGCCCGTGTTCAATAATTTTTTAATGAATGATTTAATGCACATTTTGTGTAATTTTAACTTAACTTGCTTTTTAATCTTTTAAAAAGTGAGGAAAATTTCAGACAATACTGATAGCCGAAAGGTTCACATCGAAATCTCAAAAAGCTTAGAATTGCTGCTAAGTCCTGTGATTATAACCAAGATAAAATCTTTTTCTTCTTTGTTTAAATAATTTACTTTCCTACCTGCATCTTAAAATCCATTTCTCTCATATCAACAATCCCAATACATTTGCTAATATAACCTGAACGTAATTACTGAAATAGCCTTTTCAAAGTAATAATATTAATTCCGTTCATCTCTGCACTATCCAGAACCAACCTCAGTGAGTAGTGTTTTTAGAAAACTAAAAATATTTAGAATAGAGAAAAATCAGTAAACCTACTTTTCATGAGAGAAAAATAATGTCACATTTCTATAGCCTGCAGCTGTCATAGAGTCTGAAAAACTGTGCCATTCAACTTTTCTTTGCCTGGGCAGTACTCCTCTTTTTTCTATCTCCCCAGTTTCTCAGTTTACCTAAAATATCACAGCATCCTAAATTTCTTCTGACCTGACATTTTTGAGGTAAAGAACAAAGTCCTACAATAATAGTGGGTTTCTCCCTTATACAGTGAATGGGAGCCAGGAACAAGATGGGATTTAAAGAACCCAAACTCTCTTTTTCTGGTGATTCTGCTACTTTGGAAGAGATGTTATCATGATTAAGATTATTCGTCATATTAGAAATCTCAGAAATCTGGAATCAGACATAGTAAAAAATAATTGTGATTACTCCGCTTTCTAACAACTAATGTTGCCGAAAAATACAATTCTGATCCTTATATTTTCTAAAACAAATAAAGAGTAATAACTTTCAGAGTTGCTGGAATATTTAGAATGCAAATAAAGGAATGTGAGAAAATATTTGCACACCATATATCTGAAAAGGGGTTAATTGTCAAAACATATAAGGAATCCCTACAACTCAATAGCCCAAAAAACAAGTAATCCAATTTAAAAATGGGCAAAGGATTTCAATACACATTTCTCCAAAGATGACATACAAATGACTAACAGGTATATGAAAGGTGCTTAAGGATCTCAAAGATGTATTTGCACTTCTGTGTACATTGAAGCATTGTTGATAGTAGTCAAGATATGGAAACAACTCAAATGTCCATCAGCAAATGAACAGATAAAGGAAATGTGCCATATGCATATAATGAAATACTATTCAGCTTAAAAAATAGATCTAGCAATATATGACTA